GGCGGTAGCCCTTTCGGAGATTCATCGCGTGCCCCTGCCACTTGAGTGAGTATGGAGTGCCATGGCATAGTTAATGAACTCCCAGCTTCATGTCCGGGCTGTACATGTACTTCATGACCGTGACTTTGCCGTTGGACTGATCCAAAACAACGAACTGAGTAACCAGTTTGAGTTCCATGTCAGCCTTGAGGCAGAACGGTGTCGGAAGCTTGTCTCTACCCGATGTACTTGCATTGATGGCAGTCTCGATTGCAGCTTTGCCGGGAGGGGGAACTTCCGCAATCACATCCGCGAAGTGTTTCAACATCGCCTGGTCACGCGGCAAGTCTTGGAGGGGCAGGCACTGTCTCACGTCATGACATGTCAGAAAAACCGCGGTGAGGGTTCCAGGGGCTTTCACTTATCCGGGCTCACAGAGGAAGAGGGTCGACAAGGGGGTTTGCGTTCATCCAATATGAAGCGGGCAACCTTGCAAGTGAATGGAAACGAGTTCAATGGATAACGAAGAATTTGCACATCAACTCCGAATCTCCCATCTTCCAGTGGCCAATCGCGATCGTAGAGAAATCCCTCCATGCTATCCATACCGACGGCGTCCTTGCGCTTCCCGTAGAGGATTTCTACTTGACTCTGGCTGATGCCGACTTTGATTTTCTCAAGTTTGCTGTCAACCCCGCGCTCAAGGTTATGACGACCCACGTGATCGGACTTGTAGGGGGGCCGGGAAATGGAAAACTCCGCTAGCAAGAGTGTTGGCTCTTTGCGCCTCCCGTTACCCAGCATGAGGGATGTTTGCAAGTTTGTTCGTGTTTTTACACAAGCCACCCCAAAACCAACAACGTATACCTGTTCTGCAAATCCGCAGAACGAGGTTGTTGGAAACGCAAGATGTCACTCACGTCCCCAGCCTCGTATCGCGAAGCCTCGGAGTTTGACTTCTTTCGGGGACACCCCGTTCGCAAAGACCGCTCCGACATTCATGATGATGGATGCCTCGCCGAGGAGCCCATCAGGAAAATGAGAAAGGATTTACGGATGTTGGCTGCGCCATGTCAACACGGGAATGCTGCGGTGCAGTCAACTTCGTGCAAGGACAGTTGCGTGTTTTCGTATGCAACGACTACACTGACTACACATACACAGAGTGAACAGAGCGCCAACAAGACGCAGTTTCAGGCACAGTACTCTACGTGACACACGAGCAGTTCCTGCAAGTCATCTCCCCCGTCTTTCCGAAGCATACGGCCAAACCTCATATCATGGCAGTCCTCAAGCGTGCCAACATCCTCGTCAACGTAAGCGAACTCATGATCTTCAGGCGAGTAACACAGGATGAAATCACTGTCCCTTGCTTGTGCGCCGGGAACACGGTAAACTAGTTGAAGCCTGATGCACGAATATTGCCAATACCGAGACAACATGCTGGCAAAGCCATCGTCTTTTGAAGCGGATGTGGAATGGGAAGCTACTTGTGTGGATGCCCTGCTTGCCGGCAGCTGCATCCACTCCTCCTGCCGTGGCCCCCCTGTTCCGAAGCCGATTTGTCGTCAAGGAGGAGCCCCGTTCCTTTCATCGAGCACTCACCGGATTGTCAGGTCAAGTCGTTGATCCTTGTTCACCACCCAAAAAAACAGCAAAGACGAGAGCACTTTCGCGTGTCAAGGCTGAGCTAGCGGAGGACTCTGGGGCTTCAGGGATCACAGCTGAGGCCGTCCTTCCGCCTGAAATTTCCACTTCATCTTCGCATTTGGGCCATTTGGATTCCGCTCCTGCGGTGTTTCGCAGGAAGCCCCACCTCATGATCCGATGGATGATCTTTCCCAGGAGCTTGAAAGGATGGATGATGGAGGATGACCAGGCCAGCTGAGCCAGCTAATGAGTGTTTCTGCTTCTATGGCATTTCCCCGGTTGGGTTACTAACTAGGGCTTAAACGGTGTGATGTGTTACAGCTACTTCTAAGTTTGGATTACAAGGCCTAGCAAGTTACACAAGGCCTAGCAAGTTGACGTTTTTCCTAGCTGCAATGTTAACAAAAAATGGGGATACACATCTCGTGATCTATCGCATGATGCACCCTAAGCTTTTGAAACAACAGAGCCGCGGGTGCGCGACCGCCAGATAAAGGGATTCTGCACTATGCAAACAATCACAAACAATGGCAAGGCTTCATACCTTCCATGTTGTTGCGAAGGCAGCACGACAAGCTTACATCCATCCTGTTCTTTTTCAAAACGTCGACTACATCAATGACTCTTAGCTGCAAGGAAGGGCTATTGCACCGTCGGTAGTGACTCTCATGGGAATGATGATGCGCACATCCTCTGTTCCCAAAAAGGACAAAGGTCGTGCACTGCAAAAGCGCCCTGCCAGCATGAAGTCCAAACTTTGGCAAGGCGCAAGCTACATTCGGGACAAGGAACGGGTGAACCCACGCAGGGTTCGGAAGGACCAAGTGACAATGAAGTGGAAACGCACTTTGCATGACCTTCTCAAGGCCTCCAACTCCGTCAAAAAATCGTCTTCTTGTTGCTGACAGGCTCCTACCAAATTGGACGGGGAAGACATGTCTATATTGCTCCAAAAGTACATTGTCCAAGTTGCAACTCTATGCTCGGACCGGTTGCCTCAAGCATCGTTGTGGACACTGGAAATGTCGGTCATGGGTGAATCTGCACCACTTGCATCTCATCTTCACCGAAGGAACTGGCCCTGAAGCACAACCTCTTCAATCTCAAGCCGCACGCTTGCTTCTGAAGTTACACCATGTTCCTCAGAGCACCATCCACCTCCTGCTTTTTGGAGATATATCACAAGTCAGTGGGAGATGTGGAACGGAAGCTTTGCTCCTTTCACAAGGAATACGCGAAGAAAACCATCACGTTTGGCAACGGTAAGGGTTGGCAGGATGTGGAGGCTGACGAAGCCACTTTCGACAATCGTAACATCGCGAACGCTTGTTGTCAAGTCCAAAACGGGCACCATCATAATGTGGGAGCAGTGGGGCGGGATCATCCAAAGGGGACTTCCAACATTGCTGGTGCTTCGAAGGCTCAACCCCAGAGTCACCGTGCCACGAGCTCCTTCCCCAAGGGCGATTCTCAAAGTTGAGTGGAAGGCATTGGCAAATGAGTGCTTGTGTGAGCAGAAAGTGGTTTTGGATACAGACTCTGCTAAGACTTGTAAACTCAAAGTGCCAGGAGTTTTACACGAGCGCGTAGTCAGCGTAGTCCACTTCCAACAGAAAGTGAAGTTGCAGGGCAAGTGGCGATGGCACGGCCCGACTACGTCCGTCTCGTTAAGCACAAACCGCCCGGTAGCAAAGAAAAGACTTTTGACCGCAAATAATTGATCGCGTGTGGCGTTTCCTCAAAGAGCGTGTTCGTGTCAACCAGCATACCAAAGCTGGCAGCGCTTTGTTGCGAGCCAAGTTGAGATCCGCACATATCCGCACAGTAAAATTATGGGCATCGCAATAAAGATATGTGGGTGGCCACGGGGATGCTGCTATGCTCCCATGCCATGAAAAAGCTTTTGTCTTCGTGTGCTTCAGAAGGCCTGCCCTGCCATACCGCCGCAGTTTTGACACACGCGCTCACCGCTGTTTGTCGGCTCCTCGCGGTCGTCAAAATATTCGTGCCTGTGCATGCTTGCATGTTCGTGCATGTGCTCGCGGCCTTTACTGTCCGACTTCTTTCTGCTCATGATGCTCCAGCCAACATAATAGTTTTGTTTGACATTGGCTTTAGACGTAACATCCACGACTCTTGGTTCTCTCATGTTTGCGAATGTGATGGTTCCACATACACCCACCTAAGCAAAACATGAACCAAAATACAAAATCAAGCATTCATTCAGGTTCAGGTCGACACAAGCTCTTGCCGCAACACCACGGTTCATGGTTGACTCATGTTTGCTCAACGTGCCGCTTCCACATACGCCGCCTAAGAAGCACATGGGCATAAACACGAAACCCTGGGTACCGGAGGGGGGGTGGCATAAATATACGTAAGCAGGAAGTCCCGCGAGGTCTGACATCGTTGGTAGACTGTCTAAGCCGTAAAAGCACAGCCAAGAGCAAACAAGCATAGATCTTCGAGGGGGGGTAGCATATATGTATATACATGTATATATATATATATATATATATGTCATATATGTCATATCATACATCAGTCTCTGACTTTCGACTCAAACCTCAACCCTATCGTACGGTAAAGTGGAGTTCTTGAATCACCTGGTGCTTGAAGCATGGGTGCGTGACTCGTGCATGCCAGAATCTGTGCTTGAACAGTGGCATTCTCGAATCCCGTTGCTTGAATCGCGGTGCTCTGGCAACCATTTGGGGCGAAGAAAAGTTCCGACCCTCCTCGTTCGACGCAGTCTACCCGTCGCAATCTGGGTTTGCAGACCTACCCTCGTGCGGAGCTATCATGCAGTGGCTTCTGAAACCGAGCGGTGGGGCATGGGGGGGTTGTTCACTCTCTATCACCTTCTGAGCACTGCGGGATTCAGTCGGCAAGGTCGCGGTCGTTTGACAGATTTTGCCAGCCCGGATCTGCCCGAGCAATAGCCCGCAGTCTTGCGGCAACCCTGAACCCAGCAACATCCAGCAACTCCCTCCCTAGCCATCCCAAGCCAAAAGCCAAGTCGGAGGTTCTGCCCAGCCCATGGCAATGCAACCTCTCGGCAGCGCCGACCGGCATGTCACAGCGGCCGCGACGCGGGTAGCCACCCACCACGCATGCAAGCCCGGCAGCTCACTAGTGACTAGCCTCAACACATCCCTGAACATGATCGCCTAAACTTCCGAAACATGATCGTTTATATCTCGTGAGCTCTTGGAGTTCCCGACCAGCAGCTGTAGACAGCCAAACGGACTCGCAAAGTCATGCAGACAGGACCACAAAGCGTTCAACAAGAAATCTTCTATGCAGGCATCTGCAACCTTCCTGTTAGCGCAATGGGAAATAGCGAAAACGGGACTATCCATGCAAGGGTCGATAGAACTCCGCGAAGCCCAAGCGAGTGGTATCAGGAACATAAAGGTAGCCGACCCGGCCGTGTGTTGACTCGTGAACTTTGCGGCGTCTTGCTTCAACCAGGTCTCTCATGCGAACGTTGCGCATAGTGTTCGCTCCTGCTGTACTAATGCGAGCTGTTCGACAGACAGGCTCTGTGGAAATCTCCAGACGCTTGAAGAGAGCCTCAAGCTCTCTCTCAAAGTCATCGGCTTTGCCACTTGCTCTGGCCCTGTGATTCCTGCCAGGACGGCCGTTCTCAACGGTCCTCCCACTGCTCCCGGCATGGCCACGCTTTTTGTGTGTCTTAGTGGCATGCGACTGCCCGCGAAGACGTCTGAGGCCATCGGCACCACCGTGTTGCGCCAAAGCTTTCTGCAGTTTGGCAAACGAAGGAACATCATGAGCAGGCACGTAGGTCAGGAAAACTTCTGCAGACGACGTGTCGGCCAGCATCTGAGAAATTGGGACGTCTTCCGCTACCCTCACGCGGTTCACAGCCAGGATCAGGGCCCCTTCTGTCATACCCACACCAGGCCTTGCAGCAGGGCCGCAAAACTCTTTGTCCCAAACGTCCCCTCGCAGCACTTCGTCCACACGATAGGCGCCTCCACCCTCCAAATTCCGCCAGGAAACATCTATGCCCAAATGCTTGCAGTGGGTCCGCATCTTGTCACCCTCCTCGGTGCCTAGTGTGAAGCTGACATGGCTCAATCCCAGCTCGGACAGCATCTCGCCACACAAGTCCTCGAACTCAACGCTGCTCCGGATGCGTGGGAGTATTGCCCAATATCTTTTGCACGTGTCTTTCCAGTCTATTCCTCCGCATTGCTCGTCGAACAACTGCTCTGAAACAAAACAGCTTACGGTGCGAAACATCGATCGCCACTCCTCTATGTCAACCACCTGGATGGAAAGCCGGTCGAAGTCAAGCATTCCAGATTCGGAACCTGGCTTTGACATGTCCACATCCTCCTCCGGCACTCCAGTGCCTGCCTTCACCACAAAATATGCATCATCTTCGTCTTGAGCGCACAAGAGCACATTCTCCCTGTCTAAGCTTGTGCTGATACTCGTCACATTGTCCCAAAGCTGAATTTCCTTTAATTTGTCCAGGTCGAAAACGAATAACGTGTTCTTGGCCTCTGGCTCATCCTCGTCGTCAACAACGTATGGGTTTGATGCAAACTGCTTCTCTCTCAAGTATAACAACTGGCCGGCTGCTGTCCAAGCGCAAGTGGCGTAATTGCCTGGCTCCACTGGCAACTGCAGAACTCTTGTCTCTATGTTTTCCGCATCAATCCGCACTTGCAGCGGCTCCTCAAAGTTGTCCGAAGCCGAATCTGTATCAGTCGGGGAGTCGGCTTCTTCATCCAGTTTTGCAGGTGAGGCCCTCATTCGCACTAAGGGGTTCGGAGTGTCACTTGCCAAAAGCACCAGGAAAGGGAGTTCTGTGCCAGATGCAAAGGTCAAATCGGCGGTCACTGCGTCTTCAAGCGGAGCGAAGTGTCGCGCGGAAAGAAAAGCTAAGTAGAGGCCCTCTGGATGAAATGCAGGACACCTGTTCGAGAATGTACCGTCTGCCACCACTGTCTGGGCAGAAGTCTCTACATTGATCAGCACAACAGACGAACCATGAGCAGAGCCCCTCCGGCAGTAACATATCCATGCGCCATCCGGCGACCAGCAGGGATCTGAAATTCCTTCCTCCCAATCACTAGAGTCCATCAGCCGTGTCTCGGCAGTGATGAGTGCATCCAGCTTCGCGCAAGGGTCTTGCGGAGAAGGCTTCTGCCCATCACTGAGGAGCTCCATGATCCATATCTGGTTCCGAGAGGTGACTATCAATATTGCATCGTGTGCTGGAGACGCAGTCATGCTCTGGATCTGTCCCTGAATTTCGCAGCAAGTGAACTTCTGTGCGGCACTCCCGAGATCGACCAGGAAACCATGCAAGACCTCTATCGGCGACATTGCCGCTTCATCGGCGCTTTCGCGGTCGGATGGACGACATGGAGGAGGGTGAAGGACAAATACCCAATGATCAAAACTTATGCCGTCGTCGGAATGAGCCTCCGTCACTGTGAGAAGCCGACCACTGAAAAGATACTCCACTGCTACGCAACGCACGGCGCAGTTCATGGATGTCCGAGGTGGGGTGGAATCTGCATCTTCCAGGCCCTGTTTGCCTGAGTCGTGCTGGTGCTGCAGCAGCTGCACCGCGGGGCCCTCCCACAAAGCCATTTCATAAACACTGCCCCTGCATAGACAGGAGACTGTATGTCCACCTGGATGCAATACAACAGAATCAATCCATGCTGAAGCCTCCAGGCCCCTGGGGAGATTTGCGTGGCAGTGGCCAAGATCTAGCCAAATACGTTCCGCCGTTGATGTAGCCAGGTTAAGGTGCCACAGCTCACCGCCTACAGTGTACACCAATTCATCTGCTAGATCACCCCGCAAGCATCTCACATCGAAGAAATCATGAAACGTGTGTTTTCGCAGATCCTGGCCATCCAAGCCCGTGCTCCAGACGTTGCCCGACCCATCTGGATCTGCAATAAAAAACAACCGATCGTGCTGCCAAGTCACATAACTGATATTCAGGTAAGAATCACTGCCAGAATCATTCATGTCAACTTGCGTGAAAACTCCGGAACCGATGTCGATCCACAAGAAGCCATGCTGACCCCCGCGATAGCCCTGCAAAGCAGAAATGCAGGTATGGCAGTGGACTGGCGAAAGAGAACGGCATGGCAGAGATCGACGCACTTGCGTGCGTCCTCTCATGAACCCCTGTGTACACTGTTTGTGCAGCACCTGTCTCAATCCAGTAGACATATCCGATTGAAGTACAAAAGCGTGCGGCCTTCCAAAGGGTTCGTGGCGTGTCCTTGGTGTGACGACCCACCAAGATGCCACCAGTTGGGCCAAACGCTATTGCATCGTACCTTAAACGGCGCATGCGGGCCAAAACAATAAAGTCTGATATCCGACTCGTAGCAGGTCGTCGCAGCCGACCCAGTGCCTGCAAGCCGCTCTCCTTCGAAAAGCTTCTTGGGCTCACCACCTCGTCTTTCGCAGGCTGAATTTGCCGATTTGCAGACAAGGTGGAATCTACAATGAGCACTCGGCAACACAATACAACTAGAAGTGCTCGCTATCTGGTATATGTCACTAGAAGCACTGGCCGCATAGGATAGCAAGCACAGCTCAAAGGCAAAGCATAAGCACAACAGTCTTCTCAAGACACAATAGGTGCAATAGTACTACATAGGAAAGCACGATCTCGAGCAGTATGGCATGGTATGACACAGTTTTCCCAGTCAAGGGGTCTGGAACCAATGAACCTTTTGCACATGCATCCCTCTTGCCTTTTCTGCCTGCGCTTGACAGATAGTTGATTTTGACGGACTATATGACTCCCTACATGGAAGTGCTACGGCGGACTTGACAGGGCGGACGTGACAGCTTGATGGGTAGACGCCAAACAGATCCATCGCATACTTCATCGCACGTGGACGATCAAAGACCAAAGATGTAACCATGACACGACAAACAATGATGCATCTCGATGTGTCCGGGGCCGGGTGTGTCTGCTGTCAGCTGCAGCCCTCCGCTTCCAGGTCGCCGATGCCACGAACGCGGCACCGAGTGCTCAAAGCCAGGTATGGACGGAGCTTCACAGTCCCAGCTTCTACGAAGCACTGCACACTTCTAAGTGTGTGTTCTCAAGCCAAGCTCAAAATTCAATAGCGGGCTGCCGAGTGCTAAGACCAGTGCCGTCCATGGAGACGGTATAGAGAATTGACCGATCGAACGGATCCTCGCCTTGGCCGTCAACGCGACGACACGACACGCGTAAGGCCCGAGGCGGCCTCGACCGGCCCAGGTTTGCCTTTGCCAAGATGCAAGCAAGATGCAGGTGCTTGTGAAGGCAATCTCCCTCTCCGTTTTCCATGCAGCCGGCCACAAGTCGCCTGAGCCACTGGAAAGCACTACGAACACCTGCAGCGCACCCATTGCAATCTGAAGCTCCCGTGGCAAACCATGTAAGCCGCCTGCAACTTCGGTGACATGTGGCACTGCACGACGCCATGAGTCAATGAGCACTGAGCTGCGAACCTGCATCTTCCGTCTTTCGTGGTCAGAACCCATAGGTCGGACGAATCGGTAAAGGCAATGTAGTCCGCGGAAGGTGAAAGCAATGGGTGTGCAGCTCTTCCGAAGTTCGTCATGCGTTTCGGAATCTTGGGTCCGTTCGTCTCCTTGGCACAGCAGTCCGTCAACCAAATGTCTTCTTCCACCACGAATGCAACTCTTCCTTTGCAAACCGTTGGATGACGAACATATCCTCCATTGTCCAGTCCCTGACGCTCCGGGGCAGCCATGGCCACAGACCGACAACAGCATCTAATGTGTTTGGTCCGGCTGTTGCAATGCATTGCAAAATCCTGCAAACTGTCACCGAGCTCGAGTGCAGGTGCGGGTCATGGAGTTATGGTAGCTGAATGAAGATGTTCAGAGCCTTCAGCATCTCTCAGGCTATTCCACGGCACCGCATCCGCAACTTATTTTGCAATTGCGCTCTTCGGCAGGGTTTCACAGAAGGATCGAGGAGGAGAAGCCTTCTATCGCAATCGATCGCCTCCTGATCCGAAAAATACTCCGGCAAGGCAATCAAGACAATGTTTGTTCTACCTGCTTCGCAGGCTACAGAGTGAAACAGCAAATGCACATGTGCATATCACACCTTAGAGTCTGCTTCACCGGGCTCATCCCTGTCGCTGGCAAGGCCCGTAAAGCCTTGAGGCCGCCTCCTCACGCAACAGAATGGCCTGCTGATGCGCCTCGCTAATCGTGATGTGCCAAAGTTCGTGCCGTACTGCGGGTCGACTATCATATTCTCAACGCCGAGAATCCAAGCTAGATCACGGACTTGTGTGTCAAGCCAAGGAGGTGCAACCAAAGGCTCCAGCACATTCGCTGGCGGAAGCTCCGCCAACAACCGGAGGTGATCGACGATGCATTTGAAGGCAGGTGCTGGGTAGTTAAGGTATGGCCGCTGATTCGCATCTAGTTGCGACATGCGGAGCTTGTCGTCCTGGAAGAGCATTCGAAGGCGACTACCTTCCGGGGCCTGCAGCATTGTCTGCCGGCTCACTGTCAGAAGCTCGCCTCCAACATTGATTGTAAGGATCTCCACACCATTCGGACCCTTTACACTAGGGCGCTGCGCGGAAAGGGCAGCTTCTGCCGCTGCAGCAGCAGCCTTTGCGGCAGCCGTGGCAGCCTCTGTGACTTCTGCCATAAGGCCATAATTCTCGGAACCCATGGAGTTTGAGGTGGCCTCTTCCTTCAAGACCTTGAGCACTACGTCCAAGGGGCAATTCTTGTATTCGTAATGCCAAAAAGTCGGACCAAGCTCTGCCATGTCCAAAACATGGAGGTGCAAGGAGTTCACGGAATTGTGACCGAAGACGTGGTAGAACAGGCCCACCCGATCACTCCATCCCGGGCAGTTCTTCGCATACCGAAGGGCTGCTGCTTTCATCACCTCGATTAGAGCGATAGCCCGACCGAGTCCAGCACCTCCTTTCGACTCGGGCAAAAGTCCAAAGCCCAAGACGTTGAACCACTGCCAGTGAAGATCTCGAACGGTCAGGAAGCGGTGACGCTTCGACATCGAAGCCTTCCCCACCCATTCCTTGTCTTCGGAGTCCCAATGCTCATCGTTTGCTGGCAAGTTCGAGGCAACTATGAAATGGTCCTGAAATTCTCCTAGGTACTCTTGCTCCTTGTCCATACCTGGCTGCGTCATCACTCCGCCGGCAATCCGGGCAAAAACGTTGAACGGCCGAGTACCAGTGGTCAAGTTGCCAGTCACTGGATCAATAAATCCTGACCTCATCAGCTCTTCCTTGAGGGTCGGCATGCCTCCAAGCTCCTCCATGAGCATTCTCCGCGCGGCGCGGAAGCTCGCGGCATCCTTAATGATAGGAAGACGCCCAACAACCTCCGCTTTCACAGATGTTGCACCGTCTGTACCAGCAAAAAAGAAGTTGCCCCCTCCGCCTCCTGCACGGGTTTCGCCAATCATGGACATGCGGCGCCGACGGGCCCCTGCTTTCTCCATGAGTCCAGGAAGGTCTGTGGTTTTCACAGGAGCAGGCAGAAAATTGCTTGCTGCTTCTTCTCTGAGGACTTTGATCACGTCATCCAGTGGGCAGTTTTTGAAGGAATGGTAGCTGAATGCAGGTCCAAGCTCGGACATGTCTAGTACGTGAATGAACAACGAATTCACGTTGTTGTGCCCGAACACATTCACAAAAAGGCCAACCTTGTCCGACCAGCCTGCATTCTTCGCAAACAGTAGAGCCGCAGACTTCATCTGCTCCACCTCAGCCAGTGCGGACCTTGCGGTGACCCCGTCGTCATCCGGTGGAACCAATCCAAAAATCAAGGGGTTGAACCACTGGTAATGTAGATCTCGCGTCGTCAAGAACCGATGCAAACGCGCCATAGATGACGTCTTGACCCACTTCATATCCGGGTTGTCCCAATTGATATCCTCAGAGCCACTGACATGCTGCACGCAAAGCAAGATCACGGATGCTGGTGTAAGTATGCAGAGGCAACTGGCCAGCCATTCTACCGTCCTACCCGGCAACACCGTCCGTGATGCTTTGTACACGCAGGCAGTCTAAAGGCAACATGGAAGCAAATAAGCAAAGGTTCATTCTCCAGCTTGTTCCGGCATATCATGAACTTCCCTTTGAAAGTGCCCAGCATGTCCTCAATGCATGCCACAAGTGCTCTGGGTGGAAGGCTTGGGCAAGCGCCGCAGAACTTTCTGCGGTGGTGGCCGTGGCTACCACAAGTACCGGGAGGGCCAGGGAAGCTGGTTTCGTGCAAGCGTCTTGCTCGGCTTCAGATTCTGGCTGCTTCCTGAGCCGGGATGAAAATCTCCGGAGTCGGCAAGGCGAAAATCGATCTTAAGTCTAAGTTTGCACCGAGTCGCATTGTTCCGCTTGACAGCAAAGCGAAGATGTTCATCGGCCGGTCCAGCAGCATCAGCTTGGACGTCTCACCTCAAACAACGCTGGTCCGGCACGAAGTGTGTCAAGTTTCAGGTCGAACCCTCATGACACATCCCTGTGACAAGCTGGTCCCCCCATCTGTGAACTACAAACCCCCAACCATCCCACCACCAGGTCGAACTTGATTCGAAGCCAGTACATATGAGAGCACAGGGAACCTAAGCACCTGACCGTCCACGTACCCGGAATAGATCAGCTCCTCTTTCAAAGCGGGTGCGCCCCCCAAGTCCTGTCACACGGCTCAATCTGTCAGGTTCTGGATTGGCGAAGTCCCCAAGCCAAGCCCTGCCTGCACTAGCTTGCGTGCAGACCGGTAGTGCGCGGCAGAGTTCAATTCTGGAATTTTACCTGAGAGGATCGGCTGTTGGCAGATTACAGTGTGAGCAGTCCAGAGTCCACAGCACCCAAATTTCACCACTCACTGTGTTTATGCTATCTCTGCAGGAGAATTACAACATCCATCGGCCTGTCCACATCTGTCTGTGGAGTTTGGGAACATGTGGCAAAGCGTGGCAGTACGTCCCCAGATGCAGAGGCGCCCCTTCTTAGCATGCGTCTCTTGAAATTGTCTCTGCTGTTGACCCCACCTGCAAATTAAAGTAAAGCTATGTGAAACTCTGTGCCTGCTGTAAAACGGCATTGTCTCCTGCACCGCGTAAAGAATTGGACTTTGGACTGACAGACTTTTTCACGAGTGTTGGGCGGGTGGGCCCAGTGTGTGTTCACGCGTGTTCACGCGTGCAGTTCCTTTACGCTCTCGCAACTCGGACTCCGCCAGACGCGGTTTATCTGCTTTGACTGGTCAGACCAGGAGCTGGCGCCCGGTTTTACACCACCAGGAAAATACACAAATGCAGGTGCGCCACAAAAAAGACCTCAACCGCTGATACTCTAACATGTTTGCTCAGCCAACGGTGCCCTACACCACAAATCGAGGCAAAGGCTATCAGGTCAACTAGAAGGTACCACAAGCAATATCAAGCCTCCAGACCCCTCATCCTAAAGGCTCTAAAGTACAAGGATTCCTACAAGAGGACTGAAAGTTAACTTCCTTTGCGGGGGTCGGTCACCAGTCGATTGTGCGGCGTGTTTTGCATCCAAACACTTCGCATAATCGCATCCATAATGTCATGCCAGGGTTTGTGCGCAACAGGATTTGCCAGTGTCCTGTGATCCAACTGGAGCAACCGCACTCAGCAGTACGACCTGTTGCCGGTGCCTCAGCACGAAAATGTACGATTTGCCGGTGTCAAGGCGCCCCAGGGTTAAAACGTACGATCCTGTGCTCCAACCGGTGCCTCAGGGAGGAGACGTATGATTTGTTGCCGGTGGCTCCAAGTCGTGCTCCAGCTCCAAGACGATGTACGACTTGTTTGCCGCTGTCTTGGGCGTTGAGTGTGCCCTAGCGCTAAGATGTATGACGTGCGATTTGCTGCGGACTGCAGTTGCTTTGGCGCCGCTCCGGGGCCAAGATGTACGATTGGTCGCCGGTGCTGTGGCTACGAATGGTGCCCAAGTGCTAAGATGAACGGTTTGATGCGGGCGGCATAAGATATACGATAAACCAAGACACCACCGGCACACTGACCGAAACACTGCCTGGGATAAAATTGGAACATCGACCACGACAAGACCGGGACAACGACCTTTAGCGACCGAAACGTCAGAGATACACCGAGCCACGACCGGGACGCTGCACGGCCGGAGCCTGACGACCGGGACAACAACCGACACATGACCAGGACACGACCATTGAAAGAAACGCGCTTCACATGACGGGGACACGACACGACTCGGACCAACCCAAACACGCTAAGGACACTGAGCAAAGCGCGACCGGTACACAGACCGGGGAACGACAATGACACAGATCACGACACGACCTCGACAGCAGTCGAGCGGGACAGCGGCTGGCCAGACTTTTTGTCGCTTTCCCCCAAATCGACCAGGTGAGTGATGGACCCCAAACCTGGTGGCTTCTCTCTCGGTGCCTGTCTGGCTCCTTCTTGCCGTTAGTGAAGAGATGAGCAGAGAGCAGTGCGTAAACCAACCAAGCGGCCAGTAATTTCAGCCTTCAGCGATGTAGCTCCCTCCACGCCCAAGAAGGAGGACTCCTGCATCTTCAGCATTGCGGCATCATCCTCCGTTATAGAACACGCCGTTGTCCAATCAGGTCCTTCCGTGCATATGAGAATTCGGACCGAGATTCACCGGAGGAAAGCCGGGCAAAAAATCTAGAATGTCGAGCTTCCGGTTGAAGACCCCATAGCTGGGACCTTTTCGAAAGCTTGGTAGCTACCGTGGCTCAAAGCCTAACAGCGACATTAAGAAAACCTTGGCTTGAGAAATCGGCACCCCACTCGGCCGACCGGCCGCGCGTCAACATACGAGTCACACGGAGTGCAGAAACCGTTTGTACACTCAGCCTGCTCCGGCAGATTTTCGAAAAGGTTCCAGCATCGAAATGCATCCCACAAAACACGAAGTTCAAGGGCTCAAAGTGCAGGAGGAGGACGCTGTGGACGCTTGTTTGTTCCACACGGGGTCACAACATGAAAAAGTCGAAGCTGAAAAAGCCAGATCCTGAACACATAAAGTGATCAAGACCCATCCAGATGCAGCCATGGTCGCCCACCTCCAAGACCTACCTTGATGCCCTATGTTTCTATCCGTATATTACCTTGATCCAAGGCTCTTTACACATACAAGCCTTATGAAACACGGTGAACTACGATGTATTCGCGGTGGATTCTATCTGATGGCATGCTTGCTCCTCATAAAGCTCCTCATGAACTGGTGTTAAGCTTACCCAAAAACGGCTCACCAGGCTCCGACCGGGCTATAATGTGACTTATGAGGCACAGGCATGGCATTGTGGTCCTTTTTGCATATGCATACAAAGTAGGGTAGTATAGTAGAGTGCAAGATATGGTATGGCATAGTGCCCCGTAATATGGGACAGAACAGCACAGCGCGGTATTGCGAAGTATATTCTAGTTCATCATGTATGTGTAGTATAATATGATATAGAGCAATGCCGTATACTTGTTATGTGTAAATAAATAAAAAATGTTTATACATACAGATTATGGCAGTCGTATCATACAACACTGTTGAACACGAGAACTGTAGGTTGAGGGTAGAAGGCAGAGATTAGCCTCATATTCTAGTTTAGTGTATTACAACATGTTGTCATGTGGCAGTGTACGATATAGTGCAGTAAAGTACACTATAGCATACTGTAGCTTTGAGACTATAGTAACTATAGTACTAGTGTCATACTGCATATACTATATGGGATACTATAATCTGGTATAGCACTAGTTTGACGCAGCATGGTGTGGGATAATACACTGTTGCATGGCCGTGTATAGCATGATATAGTAAGGTATAATAGTGCACCAGCATAGTCTAGCGAATTATAGTCAAGAGTCTGGTGTACTATTCTGCCGTCAGTTCTGGTTCATTATGTAAGGCACGAGCATAGGTCATAGAAAGAGCGATGTGCGTTGATGAATCGAAGAATCTGGTACATGCACACGCCATATGCACATACAAGGCTCGGGGTCGACACCAGAGGGTGTCTGCTCGCAGTACTCTCGGTGCAATAGTGGCGGGGTACAACGCAGGTACGAATTGAGGCTGTGCTTTCTTTGATAGTGTGCGATATGTCTACATATAATGAGAATAAAATCATGAGTTCGACTTCCCTTTAGACTAATCTTCTTTCAGTGGACTAATCGAAGGGCCTCAATTTTCTTGTATCAGCTATGCGTATGATGTACTACAGTATAGAGCGTCGTATAGTACAATGTATAAAGAAAAGCATTGACCTCATTATCTAGCATGGTGTAATGCGGTTTAGTATAGCAACATACAGTGCAGTACCGTTGAATACAGGAAAATCCAGTACAGTACACTCGAGCATAGATGACGATTACCAAGAAAACTATACAATGCAATCCAATATCGTGTAACAAAGCAAAGCATAAAGGGGTGTAACTTACTACATTCAAAAATGGCACTTAACACCAACGCAATATAGCATTGTATTGGATAGTACAGTGTTGCATAGTTTCGCGATGGTGTAAACAAAAAACTGTCTACTGTAGTATAACAGCGGTACACCATGGTACACCTATAGTCTGGTATGGTAGAGCAGACTACAGTATATACACTTCGGGAGCTCTATGATCCCGAGCTCTCCAGCATTAAGATCAACAGTTTTGGAAATATGGAAAGCTCAATCGAATTCCACATCTCCACATTGCAGAGCCCTCTGGCTTTGGACCCAGCACATGTGGAAATATGGAATTCCATTGAGTTTTCGCTTTTGTGCCAGACAGACACGATGTTGGGCCCCTTGGCTCCGCTCTAAGGGCCGCGCGCCCAGATTCAAAAGATGAAAAACAAAAGTAAATCTTCAAATCTGGGCCCCCCGGATCCAAAATAGATCCAAGAAGCTTCTTTCTGCAATCTTGGATCTTGGATCTGGCAGGGCCCCGTTTTTGTAGATTTAAGAAACTTAAATCTTTGAATCTGGGCACCGCGTGGATCAAACACCGAAGTGACAGCAGTCCCTCAAGCAGGAGCACATTCAACCTAATGCCCTGACGAAGGCTTAATTCGTTTGAAATTCAGGAAGAGAGTTCAAAACCAGGATGTGCGAAGCCGCTGCCATAATTAGTAGATCGGACGAGCTGAGCTGACTAGGTGTTTCTTGTGAGCGCTGTCGCTGTTCTCGTCTACAGATTCTACAGGGGCCAGCTTTGGCAGGGTTTCCCAAAGTCAGCTTCCAGGCCTGATGCATTTCCCAGCACTGCCTGTCCAAGGCAACGCGCGTAAGCCGTCTGACAGCCCTACGCGTATGACATGCAGACCAAACAGAGCCTGCAGCAGGTTCATGCTGGACAGCTTCCTTGCATTCAGTCGCAAGCTTGAAGAAAAGGCAACAAACAAACATTCTGGAGCTCATATTCCGGAAATGCGTGCCGAGCAAACTGCAACTAAGAACAAGTCCACGAGCTGTTGTCGCTTGGCTGCGGTGGCTCGGGCAAGTTAAATGGGGTCGGCATCCTGCTAACTTGAGCCAGCCTCGCGCCACAGCCTCAATAATGGCAACCTTCCGTCTGTTAACTCCCAAGCGAAAGGTCAGCTGGCAATGCATAGCAGCGAGTCAGATCATTTTGTTTGACAGCCTCATGTGCCGAGATTTGTTGCAACTGTCACTTGCTGTGGCCATCTGCGCCTATCAGGCATGGGAAAGCTGGGAAAACAAGACGAGCTGGGCAAGTTGTTCCTGCTTGATATGGTATGAAAACAGCAAAAAGCTTCCCAAGCACCTGTACCTGTGAGCAACGTGAGGGGCATCTGTGTCTCGAGTCAGGTTTGCAAGGCTGACCGGACAGACTGTTGTACCTAGCACATCTGCAGGATTGAGCTAAGTCTGTGAAGTTGAACAACAAGCGCACCCAGTTTTTGCAAACATTCATCTCGTGCTTGAGATACAGCCTCGGATGTTAACTATGCTGTGATGATAAACGGCTCCGGGATGGCCCGGGCAAACATGTCAACTCAGGATCGGGTAAGCTTGTCGCATGTCGCCCCGCAGAAGGAGGTACTGCTGGTTGAGCAACGCCACCTGCACCGAATTCGAGTTCGCGCCAGCAGAACAGGATACCGGGATGCTCAAGCACTCTTTCCGTTTTGCCCTCAGTGCTGCCGCGACTTCAGAGCGATGCAGGTCACCTGCCGGCTACCCAAAGCGGTCGCTTTGGAACGTCGAGAACCACGCCGAGGAGACGATGTCAGTCGCTTTCGTTTCAAAGCGACGGCTTTCCAAAGCCAATGCTCTGCTGCTCTGCTCCGTGAATGGTAACCGGTACGTACGGGGACAAGAAGCACAGCAGAAGTAGTCGGTCGAGTGTAATTGCCGACCAGACTCCGGCGCAAGACGTGAGCCTCCTTCCAGACGTAGGCTATCGCACATATCGTGGATGATCCGATACGCCGGCTTGCGACGGGCCCTAGGTGACAATGTCGAAGTATTCTCTTACCTTAGCCGCCAGGAGACAAATGCAATACTCCCTGGAAGGGCAGGCAGCCCACCACCACTTCCAAAGCATGGACACAGCTTTGATAAAGTTGCATTGCGCCATGGGATATCAGAAGGATCGCCATAGGCGAAGAAGTGCCGCCGTGCGATAACACGGTCGTTGCTTCTGACCTTCAACTGCGAAAGTGTTTGCAGACTGTTTGCAGCCAAGCTGAGCTGTACAAAGCTGAAGAAGCAGAAAAAAGCTTCTGCCTCCAGAGACCACTGCCCCTGCGGAAGTGGCTGAGTCGCTGTGTACCGATGCCAAAGAAGCACAGAATGCTCCGAAATCGTTATCGGCGCATGCCTCCAGATTCTGGGTTGACGTGGCTTGCAGGCAACCAAATTCACGCATTGGACATCGTGCGGACACATGCAATCAAGCATCTGCATCGGTGTCCCTCGGGGATCGATCCAAACGAGAACCAGCTCCTGCTGCAAAAAACACTTCGAATCCAAGTGGTGCAAGTGGACACAAACTGGATGTTGCGAAAGAAGCCTGATGCTGCTACGAGGATCCAAAAGCAACGCAAGACGAGCTGAGCAAGGAGAAGCATCTCTTGCCGCTGATCAGCGTCCCAGTATTGTCCCAGTACTTCATATATCAGCGCCGGGTAAGTTCCCCGATGGCGACAGCAAGTCTCCCTCAAAAGAACTCAGAAGTAGCATTGAGTAGGAGTGTGGCACTTACATCGCTGGAACCCTTTTCCGCCTTCCCATCGGAAGCAAAGAGCGTTTGTGAGCTGAACAGGGACGACTTGGACTCCACACCGGCCCTGCTCGAGAAATTTATCGAATCCAAACTCTCGATGATAGAGCTTCAGGCTGCTTGAATAGTTGTAGCGGCATGTCGCGCGCACTGGACCCTTCACTGCATTTCATTGCCGTGCTGCGCTTCATCTCGTGTTGAGCTGCAGCCGAGAAAAGCGGCATGTGGTCTTTCAAGCGTGTTGCGGTGCCAAGCCATCAATTTTGCTGCTTGGCGCTGTGCTTCTCACGAAGCTTTGAATTCGACACCTCGAACTTTCACCGCACGGATGCGGCCCCAAAAACGAATCGCTTCACGCGGCGGTTGTCTTCTGCAACGCACGCTCCGATACTGTGGCGCCTTCATGTCAAACCGTGCTCCAGATCAGATGGCGGTGTCTTTTGCTCCGTTGCGCTTTTGGGATCTTGTGGGATCCTTCTTTTTCTGGGTCCAGCTGGCCTGGCCGCCTGGCCTGGATTTGGCCTCCCGGCGTCGTCCGCAGAGTCTCGATTGTGGCATCTAGCAATGAAAGGCTATTGTCAAATTATGGCGAACTTGAAATACCACGCTAGGGACAAAATTCCCCCTACGTGATGATGTTGCAAAAGAGTAGAACTTCTCGTAGAACTTGTCAACAGCTTGGCGCAAGACAGGGCCGTGCCCAGATGCAATTTCCGAATAGCTTGGGGACCAGGTCCAACAAACAGAAGGGTCAACGTAGTTCCACGCCTTTTTCTCTTTATTGTACCTTCTTCTGGCCCATGGAGGATGCAGGGAGGAGGTATCGGCCCCTGCCACCCCCAGGAAACAAACACTCGGAACCCATCCAGTTTAACTCTGCCACAGCAAGAAACAGCCCCAGGCAGCACATCAAACTCCCGTCATGCGTGCTCAGCCATTTAGCAGAACATGGTAGGCTGCAGCCTGTGAGATCGGCTTCTTCGACATGCGCCAGTGTGCAACGGCCCACAAGCTCGGACATCCTGGTAAGCCGGCATGCATCACAGCAAAGCAGCCGGTATTGATTGAGCTCAGCAGCTGTGGGGACCGGTACTGGATGCTGAGACGGCAGACACATCCCCATCGAAAACCAGCTCAGTTTTGTTCCTGAGGTGCAGCTTGCGGCCAATGCCTGTTGAATCCAGAAGGGCTTGTGCAAAACCGAATGCCAGCAAGGACCAATCACATCCAACCCTCAGTGCCAGTAGCGGATGGGCCAATTTAGGTGCAGCCAGCTTCTCGCGGACCTGAATCTCTTGTCTTGGCTCCTTGCGCATCGGCAGTTGTTTGTGTTGCGTGCATTGTGTCCGTATGCAGCCAAGCATCTAGCTGAAGCTGCAACGTCTGTAGATTGAAAATGCCGTCATGATTTCCTGACTCGATGACATGTTGTCATTGGGTATAACTAGACTACTCGCAACCTTGCCTCAGATTCATATTGCTTCTAAGTTTCTTTGCAAGCGCTTGACAGATTTGACGACGGCCAGCGAACTTGCCAGGACTTCTACCACTCCTGATCTTTGCTGGTTCAGTGAGGCTTGGCTCTTCGAGATCTTGTCCACGCTTTCCAGCATTTGGCCGAGACGCTTTCGACGGCAGGGACACTTGCCTGCTCAGAATTCTCGGATTGTGACAATTCCAATGCCGTCACGAACAGGTTCAGACTTCAGTCTTCGCAACATTCGAAAGCTCCAAACCGGCATCGAAAGTCAGAGTCAAAGGTGCCGTGGTCCACTTCGGCCGAGACTGCCGGCTGGACTCGGCATCCAACCGATCCTCCAAGGGACGATGAACAACACGCATTGACTGCAACGGCCGGGTTACCGTCCAAAACGGAACAACGAAGCTAGCACCAGGCTAGCACGGTCTACACACATACACATGGCACGTGTTGGGAACGGGATCTTCCGTTAACCGGCGCATTAAACCTGCCGCATGTGTTTACGACTGGACTGAGGCATCAACTTGTCTCCAAGGTTTAGTTGCCCTGCTCTGTCCACGGAGAGTCGCCAGCCGAGGCATGGCCACTGCGAAGTGTATCGTGAAAATGCTAAGCTCCGTGATCGTACCGATCGGAGCATGCCGGTTCCAAACGAGAAGATTCCGCAGAGGTGAACTCGAACTTATTTGAGATTGTCCTTCAGTTGAGAGCTCTCCGCACGGTCGTCAAACTTCCTCGCAAAGAAAGCCCACCTGGGCTCAGGCTGTTCAAGGTTGATATCGCAAGCGTCAGGCTTCACTGATCTTCATGGAGCGGCAAAGACTGTTTCCGGACTTCTTCGATCTTTGCGAAATCCTCAGAGGCGTGCGGCTGGTGACAGCCTGCCAAAAACACTGGTTTAGATGCAACAATGCCGCTGAGCATCCTTCAAATTCCCCAGAACGCCCGGGGACAATATATTATATTCGCTGGTCAAGCTTCGGACTTCGCGCATGCTGTCTTTGTCAGTCCAATGGAGGGTGAAGTCCGAATAGCTGCGGCAGAACTTCGTGTTCAGCACAACAGCCTCTTCGTGACTTTCAGGACCACGGGCTGGAAGATACACTCGCATGCACTGTGCAGTAACTGCAACCTTGAACGCAGGCACCTGGAAGAAACTCTCGTCTGGCTGCTTCACAGCTGTGAGGTCACGGAATATGGTCCCAACTAGGGTGGATGCATTGGAGAAACTGATCGCTACCATGGAGGCCATCCCACGCGTCACTGCGAACCATTGCGAACCACTCGCATATCCTAAATGCACTCAACGCACTGGCACACTGGAGGTGCAGAGCATGCGAAAGATGTGGCCACTGCACAAATAACACTCGGATTGAAGTCAGCAGTCTGATGCGGTTGTGGCTCTCATGCCGGGTATTTTGGGATACTGTAGACCAGCCGACCTCTGCACGCGAACCAAGACACACACACACACACACGCAGACACACACGCAGACACACACACACACACACACAGACACAGACACACACACACACAGACACACACACACACACACACACACACACACACACACACACACACACACACACACACACACACACACACACACACACACACACACACACACACACACACACACACACACACACACGCCCACAGACAAACAACATTTGCTAATCGAAATTAAAAGCCCCAATGGGATTTCGCTGTGCTTTGCGCACACAATTTCGCGTTTGGCTTCCGAATTCTGCGATGTTCGGGACATATTGATGCGGGCCAAGCATTGGTACAGAGTGCATCGTGATGTTCGGAGGACAAACAAACCGTTTGCAATTGATCGTGATTATCCGCCGAGCTCTCTTCCTGCTGTTTGTTGCTGTTCATGGCCCCTCCCCTGCCCCCCTCGCCCCCCCCCTTCCCACCCCTCCCCTCATCTTCTTCCTGCTCCTGCTCAGGTCCCCTGCCAGCGTTTTCGAGCAGCTCTACGGCGCCCCGGCACCTGTTGAATCGTGGGAGTCCTGCCAGGGAATTCTCAAGACAGCTGTGACCTGAACATATTTCTTGAGTGATACAGAAGGCTTTGAGGTTTCATCCGGCCCCTGCACCTGAGGAGCCGACGCGGGCGGCGTAGCGTTAAAACTACACCCTCCCATCGCAGATAATCCCATCGGACCAAACAAGTCACACAGTCACATAGCGGAGCTTCTCGTGTCGTCTATATGTGGAAAATTGGAGAGCCGAGTTCAGGAATGATGGTGTAGTCAGACACTGAAAGAGTTCGGAGGCAAGTGGGCACGGATTAACCAGCCGCTGGGTTCAGGGCTATCGGGCTTTGCAATCGCTACCAATCATCATCGATGGTCCGCGGCAGACTCCACGGACCTGCATGACATCCGTTCGACGTCCATGACATGTTGGACCAGCCACTCTTGTCACTTGTTCCGGTGCACACCATCAAAGTCGGAGCAGGGAGGTCCCACGGGGTCATGCTCTGGCTGCCGATGCCAAAGTTTGTCGCATCGCCGATCAGCGCTGCTCCAAAGCTTTGTGTACAAAATGGGAACATTTCGGAACATTGTTCATCGGTCTCCCGCTCCGGCGAGCCTCTGAAGCGATGCAGTGCCATCGAATCTGAAGAGAAGTGGTGTGCCGCAATATGTTCATGTGAGACAGGATCTACAACAGAATGCAGAGAAAGCACATGCTTGTGGTTCAAATCACACTCCATTTCTCCCGGCGACTCTCGGCCCAGATGTGATAGACTCGGAAACTCCAAGCCATCATTCGAATATAACTTCCCTCACGGTTCAAAGCTCACGCGGTTTCAAATTTTAAAGGGTGGTGATTGCTTAGCTCATCAAACACATCCTGCCGGAGTCTGTTCTTGGTTCATAACGAACGTGCCGCACGAGGGTGAGGATGCATGGCTTGACAGCACTCGGAAATCTGGACACGAATGTTTTCGGCAGCTGCTCTCCCAGCGGCGGCTTGTGCTGACGTTCAGGCTGGAAGAGAGGCACCCGCTGTCAAAGTGCTGTTCGCTAAACCCCTTGAAGAGGCTTAGAAACCACTTGGCTTGTAGTGAGATTCTACTAGTTCACTCGGCACCACTCTGGCGCTGACGACTCAATCCGTGTTCTGTTGACCCCACGGGACAAAGCACGGACGACCAACTTGTAGAAGACTTTCCGCCATGGCGAGCGCCTGTCACAATCCGAGCCTGCAAGAAGGGCACTGCATCAGCAGGACGCCCGAGCCAGCCGCGAGTTCCTGGGGCGAGCTCGCTACCGGCCAGGCAAATATAAGCTGACGATGATGAAGCAGGCAGGGACCAAGAGACGAATCCCAACCTGATGCATCCTCCCTGAATCCTCCCTCTCAGCAATGAGCTGGCTGAGCCGATACGAGCCGGATGTCAGGAGTTACTTTGGCCCTCACGGTGGTGGCCCAAATTCTGCAAGGCGCCGTTCGCGAGTTCTTCGGGGCTGCGCTTGAGGTTCGGCTCGTTGACTTCCGATAGTGGGCTGCATGCAAGCCTGGACCCTGCAGTCGTTATTTCTCCCCATTTTTACATGTGTGTCTGCCTTTCCATACCTCAGCCAAGAAAGGGTTCACGGTGACCTTGGCGTCAGTTGTCAGCTGGATCCCTAGATGTTCTGAGCTCGAGCACTCCTTATTTCCTCGAGGCTTCCAAGTTTGCCGCCCGGCTTTTGCCATTGCCCCTGCGGTCCGGCTTCTGAGAGTTGCTGTCGAAAGCCGAAGTCCGAGCGTAGTCGGTCCTGCGGCTGTGGGTTCATCACCGGGTACGCGTGTCGTCGCCGGAGCCCGTGCACCAATCTCAGGGTCGAGCAAACTTTGGAAGCTAAACATCGGAAGGCAATGCACGGTGTAGGTGCTGCCCGAATTTGCTCGAAGTCGGCGGATTCGAAAAACTAGCACGAGGGTTCAGAAGTATGCTGGGGTGCCTGTCCGAAGATCTCGCAGGAACATCCCGCACCAGGACAGACAGGTTCTCGACGGTTGCCCGTAAGCCAGATTTCACGACGGGTGTTTGCACAGCAACTAATCAGGTTAATAAGGGATGGAGAGGGGAGGAAAAGGGAGCCAGCGGGCGAAATGATCAGATTCTATCAAGTCAAACAAAAACTTGCATCCGCGTTTTGACCAAGACTGTAGGAGTGCGGGGTGGATCTTGCAGACAGCGAAAGTAAGAACTCATGCTCGAGGAGCAAAGGCTCTAATCACTGAACATAAACTTCCAGTTATGTGCATGGGGGAAGAATTTGGGCCGTGGTGCTTCTCAAGCGCTCGAGACCCAGCAGGCGGGGCCGCCTGTAGAATGCTGCGTCCGGCCAACGCACGAGGGATGTTGCGTGAACCTGCCCTCGAGGGTTGCTCGCTTTGCCCTCCTGGCGGCTCTTCGTAGTGGCCGTCGTGGTGGCTCTAGTGGTCGTGGTCGTCATGAGTCAGGGCCCAGGTATTGTGTCATTGTTGCTTGGGGATCTGCACTTGCACAATTTGATAACATGTGATCAGGAAAGCGTACTGTCGATCCTGGCACTAACCCGCGGACATTTTCGGATTCTCGGAGACCCGTGTATGGAATTTTTGACGGCACTCGAACATGGCCAGGATAGGTTTGCCTTGCAAAAAGGACTAGCGGAATTCTTCTCAGAGGCTGTCATATGCAGTATCCAGGAAATGCACACAATCTCACAAGCACGCAACCGAGACAACACCCAAAACCATACCAGCAAGACATTTTGAAGCTATCGCCTGCGCGGAAAGCACCTGCATTTAGCCCCGACCATCTGACCTTGAACACACCAGAATCCCAAGATTCCACTCCCGGTGCATGAACCAATGCCCATTTGCAACAGGACCTGCAAAGTGAAATTTATTCGCATGCAAAGGTCGACCCAGACAGTTCGCATGGCATGCTTGTACGGTGTCAGCTATGGCTCACTCATACATTCAAAATGAAGGGATCATGTGCCTCGTGGCTGTCGCCCACCGCATGATCCCAATGGAAAACGTAGAATCTTGCAACATGCGTGACAGCGTGTGGATCCCATGCACGGCAAACCCGTGCATAAGGCGCAACATTCCAATCTACTTTTCTCGTCCTGCAACATATGAGACAGCTCACTCATGCAGCTCCACATCTGCATACAGACACCGAAACCTGACGCATACGATATCTCATGACTGACAATCGTAATCAGCATACGCGCTCCCCTGCGTGGTCCTCGTAGTGCTCAGTCGTGGAGTGACTGGCACGGACCCTGTGCTCGGCACACAGACGATGCAAGCTTGTCCAGTGCAAAACATGTAGAGTCAATGTAGAAGTTCTCAACGATGTGCAAGGTGAGGGGTGCATTTCGTCTTGCGAATCCGAGATAAAGCTGTGCAGTGCCTGCGACACAGAGGTCGTTTCTTCGCTGCCCTCGGACCGCTTCGGCCACGCCCCGTGGAAGGCCAGATTTATCGTAAGTCCAGCAACAAATTGACCTCACCTGCAGGCCTCTCTCTCTCTCTGTGTCTGTGTGTCTGCCATGCCACCCTCGAAGGTCTCGCTACGCAGGGCACACAAAAACGAGCTGGAATATTACGGGGCGAAGCACGAGGGTCGTCACCGTGAATCCCGACCGGTGAATGAGGGGAAGTAATTTGGCCATATGTTCCGAAAACCCAATACAGAGCGAGAACAACTTCCGCATGTCTCAGAAGTCAGAATCAGCCATGGAGGAAAGTCTTTGGGCCGTTTCCTGCAGGTCTCCGGATGGTCTCCCCATAGTCATAGTTTGATCTCCTGGTGGTCGTGGTCGTATGTGGTCGTCCGGAAGCCGTGGTCGAGCTTTGCAAACTCGTGATTGGACGCCCAAGTCTGAAAAACACGAAGGACTGCATTTCTCTTTACGCACTATACAGACTATACACGTACATAGAGCACCATCCCCGGGCCACGAGCAACGCTTGCGTCCCTATGTCTTTCTGCGCGAATGCTTGTGTTTTCTGTGCTTCCCGACGTCAACCTCGGACCTCTGAGTGATTCAAAGGGCTGCTCAAACCGCCATCGGTCAGTTGATGCGAACTATGTTGTTCTCTCTGCGTTGGTTTTCTTCTGGTGAGAAGGGCAGGTTTGAAAACCTTTGCAAGCCCCCGGCTCCTATGGCACCTTCCCGTGCGATCCTTGCCGTTGACAAGTCGATTGGTCGAACTTCCGTGTCCCACTACTGCTCGCTTGTATCTTAGCATGCAGACCATGAAGTTGCAAAAAGTGTGCAACCACCGAAAGAAAGAACAAACTCACAACAGATAAGCACACCCCTTGCCATGACCTCCACCCTGCACTTCTGACATCCTGTGGGAAGGGATTGCCGAAAGGAGTCAGCATGGCGAGGCACAAGGATATCACACGGTCTCCGCATTGGTATGAGACGTCGCGTTCGCATTCACCCTGAGCGAAAGCAAACTCACGCCCTAGGGCCTAGGCCCAGGATGCACACATAGGCTTGCCTCGTCCACGGACACGAAGCTTGTCCCATGATGCACCCAAAGGTAGGTGGCCAGGACTTCGTTTCCTCTCAATGGGTAATCCTGCATCACATGCTGTGATACGGGCAAGAAACTTTCAATGTGACATGCGCTTGCATCCTGCTCGCTGAGTAAAATGCAAAAATCCCACTCCATGGCATGGCGTAGAAGCTGGCGAATGCCTACAGTCAGGCACCCGCTCAAGATGCGCGGTGTCAAAATTAGCCTGCACCTTCCATCTGCGCATGGAGCATGTTCGCACCACCACGAACGATGTTGTACCTTGAACCCCTAGAGAGGTGCAACACATCGACATGCACACTTGGTCATGATTGCTTTTTCTCCACCCAAGATGCTTGGAGTAAACCTGAACGGCATATCCCAAGGCCTCCACTTGTGTCCAATGTATAAGCTCCTCGAGCATCCCCGGATTCTTCTCATCAACATGCACCTCGGCAGCTTCACTCGGCGGCGTTTTTCAACGAATGCAGGCCCATGTTGAACGAAGCTTTGCACGGCAAAGACGGTCTCGAGGGGTTGCAACAGTCTGGAGATAAGCCGCTTCACATTCCTCCGTGTGTGATGAGCGAACGAAGTTGACAGGGATTGAGACAACATACCGCTGCAATGAACAAGACTCTGCGCAAAGGCACTGAGGGAACTGATGTGCCAGGATGACCTGAGCTCACCCATGTTGAGGCATAGCACTCAATCACGACCTGGCGACATTTCTTCCTGATGGGCCGCCCGGCTGCCTATGCTCCTTTCGTGCTAGCAAACTGTCACGTTCGGGACTTAGCTTTCAAAAAACAAACCAGGGCATATACAAATCATGCCCAACTCCCCGACATGTCTGCCGTTTGCTTCCTCACCATTGTCCAAGTTGCATATGCGAGTCTCGCCGGGCTATAAGAACGAAAAATCAGCTGCGAATCCTGCCCGAGTAGGAAGCTAGCAGCTTCCCATTCCGTCTTGACCCTGTGCCAACCGTTCTTGCGCAGTTCTGATCTGAACACTTCAGCTGCAAGGCAGAAAGAAGCTTCCACGAGCTGGAATGCCGAACCCCGAGCCTCGCTGCCTTGCAGGCACTCAGTCTGCAAGAACTCCGTGTATCCTTGGATGTCACAGGGATCGACATGTTTCTGGAGGTCTCGACACCAAAGACGGACATGTCGTGGAAGTGGCAGACAGACAGACAAACAGACAAACACAGACAGATGCAGGAGAGATGAACAAGATGAACAACTGCAGTTCTCATGAAAAGCGAACGGGCAGGAATACAGATAGTCAGCCAAATAAACAGAGAGACAAGTGGGAAGCGATAAGGATCCAAAAGGGAACGAATCTACGTTAGAGCAGTTTCAAAAAATTCTGCCAGCGGAGATCCCCAAAGCGTGAAAGGCCATACCTAAAGCAGGACATTTTTAGTCCAGGAAGTCACGACCGCTGGGCCGATGCTTCGCTATGCTTGAGAAAGTACGGGTCGCAACTAGTTGCCGTGTTTTTCCATACTACCAGGAGCACAGTCATCACCCTTCCTCACTGTGCTTAGGAAAATACTGGTCGCATGTATAAACAGCAGGACTCGGGGAACCACCGATTCGTTGCTCTTGCTGCAAATACACTGTCTGGGGGGATACATTTGGACTGGCATGTGGAGCGGAGAAACACGCACACGGGCGCCCACACACACACACAGACACAGCAAGCCCTCACCCCATGCTGTGATCGCAACGTTAATCTGAGGCAAGACTCGCTTCGATGCAACATCTCGTACACGTTGACAGTAGAAGTGTTTCACATCCTGCACAGGGGCACAAGGGCAAAGCAGCAGTCATGTGGCATCACCGAATCAGGGCTCGAAAACACCATCAAGATCGATGGCGCTGAGATTCTTTCAGCGAGGAAGTGCTCAAGTGTGATCAACTACTCGTCGCGAGCCAACGTACATTGCCGCTTTAGGGGTGGAATCGCAGTCTCGACTTGCAAAGAGGAATTTTGGACAGATAACCGAGATGTGAAAACATTTGTAATTTCATGCTTGTGCTGGAGTTTGCTCTTCCTCGTCCATCTTTCGCAAAGGGGGCATGGAGGCACAGCTGCAGGCAATGCCTCTAACACTGTTCTCCCTGGCAAAGTCGACGCATCTCCTCGTGACAGCTGCTGGAAATAGCTCGGAGGTTGATGTCGCCCGCCGCTGCAGCCAAACACCGCTTAAAGGAAGCTGGCTTTCCTTCGGAACGAACGAAACTTCACTGAACGGGCCAAGATTCAAGCACTCACCAAAGTACGCTGAGTCCTGAGGATATTGCATCGCTCAGCAATGTCGCAGTCACAGGCACAACCCACATTGACATCCCTGTGCGCAGACGTCGGCGCAGCATTCCGAAAAACACACGCTCGGTGCCAAAGTGCTAGGGTGGGTTGCGCCATGTATTGAGCCGCCACTGCTGCAGTCTCCGGCAAAACATCCCAGAGAGTCTCAACTACGGCTGTAAGACTCTAGGATCGGAAACACCCAGTAGTTGCCAAAGACTCTCCACTTCAGAGAGACCTACGAGTACTTTGCTCAGTGCTGGATGGGTTTACTGGGACACTTGCGACCCCAAGCGCCTTTTGCTTCAGAGTGATGAGAAGCTGTATAAGACGAGGGTTGCCTCCACACGCGACTGACCAGAAACAAATCCGTGTTTCAGGGGCATGCCGCTCTAAGCCAATGAACTTCCGTGATCATGGGTCCTCACTGCACGGGGTCATTCCGGTGCATTGGCTGGTGTACCGCTATTTCTGAACAAAAACACACCACCAACAGCAAGCATCGAGTCCCGCGTGCTTGCCCACGGTGGTGGTAGTGGTGGTGGTGGTGGTGGTGGTGGTGGAAATGGTAGGATTACCAGCAGCGTTAGTAGTGGCTTGCACTTCCCAACACTCTACAGGCACCCTAGGCGGTCGCCGGAAGCATTCCCAATTGCTTCTAATTAACAACAAGCACGGGCTGCTGTTTTTGTCTGTACCAAAACCAACAACAACAACAGCAACAACAACAACAACAACAACATCAACAACAACATCAACAACAACATCAACAACAACATCAATTTATTTTATTAGACGCTGAGCGAGCGGGCTCTGCTCATTGCGGGCGTGTGAAACTGCCTTTGCACCTGAGCAAAGAGCTGAGAGCATAGTAAAGAGAGCCTGGGCCTGGAGTCTTGAGACTGGCAGTCAGCAGTAGACAAAACTTAAAGCTACAAGCTACCTCAGAGGCCGTCACTTTTCACTCAGTTGGGTGAGAAACCCTCCGTCACCCTCAGTGTGGACTATGGCGTCCCATGTCCACGAACCAATGATTGATGAGCCGTACCCAAGACTCGGAGTGCCTGTTTCGTGGCGTCCCACTCGTGGTCACTCACAATCAGAGGCGGTGGGCCGTAAGGTCGCAAAGTGATATTATGTCCGTGGCCAACCAATGGAGGTAGTAGAAGCTGCCCACGCCTCGGCGTAGGCTCATGGAGAGACTGTGTGCAACCCGATCTAGCATGGCGTAACTGCCTCAATGTGGCAGTTGGGCGTGCCCACACATAGTGAGCAACGAGCAGGCCCGTGATGCGAATATGCTGTTGACTGAGGCAGCTCTTCTTTTTTTGGCTAAGAGCAGAGTGCATCGGCAAAGTCACGGCACCCCCGGGAGCTGAAGCTCCGTGCCATGAAAGGCCAATGAAAGATTAAATTTCGTGGACGTATCAGGCGTTGCCTGCATGCGAGCTGCGAGCGTTGCCCGACGTAACTAGCTGAAGCTACGTCGCGTGAAGGCTCAAGAGATCTGTCAGACCTAAGGGAGATGAAAACCGAGATCAACAAGAGTGGCTTTATGCGCACTCGACAACCGGCCAGGGTCAGAAATACTGTATGCAGCAAGCGTGATACGATCTGTCAGACTCCAACCGCGAGTACAGTGAACATGGTTGTGAGCGGGGAAAATGAGTGCCTGAAAGGCCAGGCTAAATGGGCGGCCACTCAGCAGACCATAGTCAGTTTCTTCGTAGTCGGTGCCTTGCCAGGATTCCACCCAGACTGAGCCTTCATCGTGGTGGGAGAGACTAAGCAGCAACGTGCCCGTCTTGGAGTTGGACTGATCTCGATGAGGTGGAGTACGAACGTTGAGGTTCAAGGAGAAGGTAGTCCATTTATGCGCCGGGCAGATGTGCTCAATCAGTCGGTTAAGCAGTCGACAGAAGGATCCGTGCCGAACCGTATCTGCGCAAAGTCCGATAGGTCCTCGTGCAAAAGCGCCGAAGGTGACATTGTTGGCGCTGCCATCAGAGAAGCGTTGGCGACCTGGGCGCCATGTCAAAGCTCGAACTGCTGTGCGCACAGCATTCCAGAGCGGTGACTGAGCGTCTTGTAGCAAATGCCACGACAGAATTTCAGCGCTTGAGGTCCGCTCATCCAAATCACCGTGCGGAAAGGGCATATGAGTGTCAAGGCTGCGAGGGAGACAGGGTTGCAGGCGTGCAAGGTAGTAGGACAACTCCTGCATCCGTTCATGCGCAAAGGTCTGAATTGCCAGGTGCAGCAGATCGTTGTAGGATAGCATCCCCGCTTCGGCCGGAAGCGACAAGCGTGGCGGTCGAGCAGCCAGGGCATGCATGGCCTGTAACAAGAGGTACTCCTCCAGGGCCACAGCGTACAGGTCCGGCGGAAAGTCTCGCGTTTGAAACATGATGTTGGGAGCTTCCTGGCTATGTTTGCTGCTGGAGCCACATGCCCTAGAAAGAGTGAGAGAGAGTGGTCCCTGGCTCGTGCGGCAAGAGCAGAATGACTGAAAGAGAGTGTGTATTCCGCTCAAGGAGACTAGCATCTCTAGTGGAGGCGGTGCTGCTTGACGCATCTCTGAGCGCTTCGTCAGAGGACGCCCGGTTTGTAAGCAGGACGTTGCCTGACATCAGTGCAGGCGTTGCCTGTATTGCATAGGTGCTGAGCAGAAAGGAAGAGAAAGATTACAGTTGCCTATTACCAACAACGCGCAATGATGTCAGCAGGCGGTGCCTGGCATCAACTGGGGCGTTGCCCGGCAGCCGCAAAAGGTGAGACTGGCTAAGTAGCCCTGGCATGCAATGGCTCAGCGGTAATAGCCGTGGTAGGCAGAGTTCCTGGCATTGTAGGAATTTTCTTCCCAGTCCCGCCAGTCTTGCCAGTCTTGGGAGCCGGCGGATCTGGAGTGTTGTTCGGGCGGAGGCTCGTGAGATCCATACGGGTCCGACCTCCTGGACTCCTTGTTCTCACGGTGCTCAGCTTGCTTTTCGCGGCGACCACGAAGCTGCTGGCCAGTAACATTGCGAATCACGTTCAGCTTGCTATCCAGGACTTGGCCGTGCGTAATCTTGATGGTTGGATGACTGCCACGCGTGGCCTGGATGATATTGACGTGGGAGGGTTGGTGCGCCTTCTTGGTGGCTGCCTCATAGATGGTCTGCAGGGTCGTCGCGAAGAGGCGAAACTCATCCTGAGTAGCCACACGCTTGCCCTCGAAGAGAGCGTAGGGAACCCCATTTTTAATGGTAGCCTGAAGGTCCCCGAGCCAGGTCGTGAGCTTGGGGTGGATGTGCTCTTGACCAGCACGGTCCTTCGTGGCCATCGTTAAGTGGCCAGAGGAGTGGACAACAAGTCGACCCGAGATCACAGAGCGCCAGCTGAGGTCTTTTCGATCAGCTTCAGGTTTTTGGTAAACCCTGCTAAGGCCTGCAAGCACGGTTGGCAGCTTGGTCAAGACCTGAAGTCGGGCATTCCATATCGCTGTGAACTCCTGGGGCTGAAGAACACCCACGACTTCAGGAGCCGTCAGTGACTGGAGGTCCGCTACTGCCACCACCCAATCGTAGAAGTCCTTCTCGGCACAGAGTTCCTCCATTGTGGGAGGAGTGGTTTCTGGCTCTTGAGGAGGAGCTTCATGACGATGCGGTGCATCAAGAATGGCTGGTCGCGGTGCGACGTATGGCGGCGGGGAGGCAGGCTCGTTGGGCCGTTGATTGCCGGTATCTGAGGAGGAGGCCGCCGCAGCGGCCTGACCTGAGCGCCCAGTGGTAGCCCTGGCATAGGCCTCTTCCCCCGCGTGATGCCATGTAGCACCGCTGCCACGTGTCCGCAGAAAGTGCGGCAGTAAGCCCTGAGAGAGGTGTGGAACATGCAGGGCCCGCCAGATTTGCCCGCACAGAAGACACAGCACAAAGTGTCACCATGTTCTGAAATGGCTATGCCAAGACCGCGCGGGATGAGCTCCTGGACTTGCTGCTTGGTGAGTTCGCCATAGAACTGCGGCCACTTTTCGATAAGCTGCACAATCCGATCGAGAAGGCTGGTGTCGAGAGCTTCAAGCACATGTGCCTGAATGGTGGCCTCAGTGGGGACCGGAGTTGTGGAGGCGTTGCCTCGCCGGGTCGTGGCGTTGCCAGCCTCCTGCGCTGCTTGGAGTGCAGTAGGGAGTCCACGAAGGATGGCATCGTTGTTGGCTTTGGTGGAAGCCGGATCAGACTTCCATCCCTTGTTCCAACCCCAGCACCGAGTAAGAGCTATGAGTTGCTTGGAGGCTGTTCGGAACCCATGCCCCTCATTGGGGGGCACGCCCTGCATTCGCCGCAACTGATCCTCATGGACCTCCTGCAGCAGATAGATCGGGCCCAGGGTCTGTGTGAGGTGCCAGCCAGGGGCCAAGCGGCGTCCCTGCGCCGTTGGGTGGAGGACCGGGTCACTGAGCAGGTCCTGGCGTACGATCTCATAGAGGGCGATGCAGAAGAACATATACTTCTCGTTGATGGCCCCCTGCGCATCCACATATTTGTGCTGAAAAGCATGGCGTAGTGCAGCAGTCATGAGGGGGTGCTGCCGTCGTCCCATGAGGATGCCCTGGAAAATGTGGTCCTTTTTCTGACCGATGGCCGTGAGGAAGTAATCAGGAGGGCCGCTGGCTCGCAAGGTATCAGCATCCCATCCATAAATTTGGGAGGCAAGGTCGGAGAGGAGTGGCTTGTCTCGCCACTCTGCCACGATGGAGGAGTGAAGCTCCTGCGGCGTGATCAGGAAGGCAGTCTTGATGTCGAGGTAGATGCCGCCGCGGAGCCAGTGTTCAACGTATCTGAAGACATCCGCGCGATGCGCGTTGCTTCGGAGCTTGGAGAGAAGGCGTTGCCCTGCTCCTCCAGTGACTGAACGGATCACTTCCGCGCAGGCTTCGTCGTTGAAGAACTCGCGACGAAAGGTCCGGAACTTGTCCTCCGCCATTTCCTTAGGGCCAACCACTTCGTCATGAATGAAAGTCTGGACCAGGCGCTGCGGGATTGGGAACCGCCCATAGGGAGTACAGTCAGCCGGTACCGTAAGGCGGTACGTCTTTTCAATGGGGAAGTTGGCTTGGCTGGCCGCCACGATCAGCAACTCTCTAAGAGTGGTGGCTCGAATGAGCGCGTGGGTGGCCAACATCTCCTGATGTATCATGCCCTGAGTCGCGTTCCAGGAGCAGCACAGAAGAACTGGCAGAAAGGGTGGAGGAGTGTGCGGCGCATGCTGCGCATCCCCTGGCCCCTGGCCACCCGCAAAAGGTGAGGTAGATGGGGTTTGGGGAGCGTTGCCCTGCGGAGTCTCGGGGGCGTTGCCTCCTTCAGCTCGCTGTGGTTTCGGTGCTGTCATACAGTAGAGAGCGCGGCCAATGATACGCCCAATGGCAGGCAGCTCAGCAGACGGCTGAAAGTGAGTGGGATCCTGGCCATACAGGTCCAGATCCGGAGGCTGGTCCAGGTCCATGATCTGCCAAGGGAACTCGTAGTCCTTGAGGTTGAAGTCGTGCCGTGCCCTTTCCACAAAGTCATAAGCAGTCTGCTTGGGATGTGGCACACTGCGTCCGCAGGGAACCAGGCCTACCTTGACAGGCTCATCGAGCCTGTCCCGCAGGAAGTGCAAGAAGCCCTCATTGACCAGGATCGGAGCTGGCAGGGAGTCGCGAGACTGGAGGGAATCCCCCGCAGCCAAAGCAAGGGCTCCTAAGATGGAGGGACGCCCAGGATAGGAGCGAACGAGGGAAGCCCCGGGACACACCACCGAGTAGCCCATCCCTAGCGAGGGGTAGCCGTATGAGGCCCATTGCTTGCCCTGTCGCAAAAGGCCCTGGAAGGTGGAATCAGCAAGGGCCAGAAAGGGCGGCGCCTCATTGAGTACCTCCCGACCTGCATCATCCCAGACTGTTGGAAAGGGGCGCGTCCACGCCATGAGGAGGCACAGCCCTCTCAGAGGGTGGACCCCAAGGCGAAAAAAGGAGTCGGCTACTTGAGCCTAGTGCAGAAGCAGAGATGCCGTGGCTACCTAGACTGGTAGAGTAGTCGGAAGCACACTGCAAAGACGCCTTGTTTTGTACATACTGCACTAAAGGCTGCTGCGTGAAGATAGCGTGAAGGAAGAGATGGGCCTTGCTAGGCTTGCTCACAGGATACACCGTCGAGCCCATCTGGGCTATTTGACTAGCTGAAAGAAGAGGCTAAGCTTGCTGCGCTGAAATTGTCCAGTGTGAGCAGGGACCTAGCAAGCGTTGCTTGCAGTGTGCAGGCGTTGCCTGAAATGAGAAGGATGATTGAAGACACCACAGTGATAGAACACCCCTAAAAGAGAGGGTTGGCCTGGCGCTCAGTGGGGGTCGGTTCCGGCTCCTGGTACTCCAAGTAGAGCGACAGAGCCTGCAAGAAGATCATCGTATCCTGAATGGAGTTGGAGAGGGCCGAGCGAGAGAGGCCATCTGCTCCGGGTACCGTGGTGCCGGCGTGTTGCTCCAGAGCATGGACGAGCGGGAAGACCTGAAGAGGTGAGAAGAAGTGAACATCCGGAGCTCCCGAGGCTGCGGGGGCAGCGGTGGTCTCCTCCACATCAGGCGCTTCCATAGGTGGCTCAGCCCAAACGCCCGTTAGCATAGGGGAAGGAGGCGTCGTTGAAGGCGGAGGGGGGTCCGACTGGCGCAAGTGGCTCTTGGGCGGTGCCCCCTGATGAGGGAGCGTTGCTCTGGGACTGCACCGAGGATGGGTCCATCCGAGGTGGACCTGGCGGTGGCTCTAGCTCCAGCATGCCATCCCTGTTTCTGTATGACAGCCAAGGATAGACTTGCTGAGCCACTGATCGGGTGCCACGTCCCTCAGTCTTTAGCTCACAGACCAGGAAGATCTTGGGAAGATAGCCCGACTGTTCCCACGAGCCAGTGTTGATCTGTGCTGAGAGAGAGGCGCCAGGCTCATAGGAGGGCTGGTCCGGCTCGTCCACAAAATGCCCGTGGAGTTGCCCTTGCGCTCCAAAGGCGAGCGAAAGGTGGTAGTGCAGGTGCGTGACTTGCCATCGGTAGTCCACAGGTGAGCCGTCAGCATGATGGTAGGATTGACAGCCGTGTCTCGCCACGAGCCAGGCGGGAAGAGGCTGTGAGGATTGGGCTTGACCTTCCACGTAGTGGTGTCAAGCATCATGTCCAATTCCTGCTCGGCCTCGCGAGGGAGTTGTGGGCGAAGCTGATCGCGTTTCCGGCGTCTGGAGGCGTTGCCTTCCTCAGCGGGTGGGCGTTGCCCCGCCTCGCTTTCCATCTGGCCAAGAATTTCTTCACGGATAGTACAGGCCAGGCGGTGGAAGTCGCTCCGGCCGCATAAGTAAGGGACCCGCACCGAGGGGGTCGACCATTCGTTCATGCATTCAGCTGGAGGGCGGTGTTGGGTGCCTCCACGGCCTGCTACTGTGTAACCATAACGGACCGGCCAAATGGTCTCCTTGCTGCCGCCGTAATCAATGAGGACGAAGCTGGCAGGATCCGTGCGGAGCATGATGTTGGCTAGCCGAACATCAGCATGTATGATGTCATGGTCATGGAGCAGGGAGATCGCCCTGCGCATGTCTTGCATGAGGCGAAAGACATGACGAGTGGTCAGTGCAGAGACCGGGACAGGGTAGTGACGAGGCATGAGCACTCGGAGGTGCTGTGGATCCCAGGCCAAAATGGTCTGGAGAACCACCACCTCAGGCATGCGAGCCGCCCTGATAATTTCTCGATTAACCTCCGCGCCGAAGCCTGCTTTGGCAGTCCGAATCACATAGTGCTCTCGATCTTCCAAAAGGGGCGGGAAGGTGGCGGGGCCACGCGTCACATCGATGCGTTGCACCTCAGAGAAGGGAGAGTAGCAGGGCTGGGCTGGAAGATACACCTGGCAGGTGTAGCCCGAGCTGATTTGCTGACCCAGCTCGGAGGTGATCAGGGACATGACCTGAATGGAGGGGTTGACGTAATGCCCCGGGAGAACAAGAGGCGAGGAACCATGTTCCTGCAGGCTCTCCAGAGCCTTACCGGCCTCAGCCGAGAGCGAGGTCGAGGACTGCGACATGTCCGCGCAGGGAACAGCGTGCTGCAAAAGATTGTTAGAGAATCTCTGACTCGGGCCAAAAACTTTGCTGATCGATGCAAGTCGATTGCTGCCAGACACCTGGGATCCTAGCTGAAGCAGCTAGAGACGCTTATTTAAGGCGCTGGCAAAGGGTCTTCATTTGACCCGCTCTTCAGCCGAGTACTTCATGCACTAGTTTCGCGGTGCGAAGTTCGCCGATTAAGTCGTTGGCGATGCCACACGACTCAGGACGCCTTGGGCAGTTTGGGCTTCCACATCATCTGCCGCTTGGATGCGGGAGGCGTAGGGGGCTTGGGAGGCGACGATGTTGTAGTAGAAGAGGAGGATGTTTCAGTCGGCCATTGGCGCTTGCCGATGGCCAGGTTCTGCTTGGTAGACGTAGATGACATTGAGGATGTGCCGCCAGACGTCGCTTTGTCAACCTTGTTCTCTGACGGAGAATAAGTCGGACCATCGAGTTCCTGACGTGCCGCCCACAGGAGATGCTCGTAGAGCTGTTCCTGGGAGATGCCATGCTGAGCCTCCGACATGGCTTAGCTATGTGAGCTGAGGACTCCGGAGTGGAACTCTGATCGGATCTCAACGGCTAAGACAAGCAATGGTTAGCTGGGTAGTGGAAGGAGAAGCAGGCAAAGGGGAGGCAGAGACCGCTAGTAAGCAGAACTAGAGACTACACGGCCAAGCTGTGTGCCCTTTTTGTTCTCTTTAACGCGTGTGAGCGAAGGAGCGGCTTGGGTGAATTTCTTGATAGATAGAAAGCAATTCCCTCGCGCAGCTCTCAGCTGTGGGGTGCAAGAGGCTGCGAATCTAAAAGCCGGGAACCTGGAGGCGTTGCCTCGCCTTTGGGGCGTTGCCTCGATACCTCAAGTTCAGCTGGTCGTTGGGAGTCCACGGGCTTTTCGAGCCAGAGTGCCCTGGGGGCGTTTGCCCAGTGCCTCGCCTTCAAAGTCCTCAATGAGTTTGCTGTACGTAGAGACATGAGCGAGCAACGTGCTGTGCATCTTCAGGCGGATCTCCAAGATGAGGTGGGTCTTTTTCGCATTGGCCCGAGCCGAAAACAGAGCAAGCTCGTGATTGATCGCGTTGTTCTTGTCCGGATCATCGAGGATGAGAGCCAGAGCAGCCTTGAAGGCTTCCCAGGCTGGTTGTGTGACAGACTCAGGCTTCGTTGAATCCTTCAGGAATGGAAGCACTGCAGCAGCAACCGCAGCCGTGGGAGAGCCGGAGGGGTGTGGTTGGCCTGGCTTATGATCCTTCAGCCATCCCTGAATGGCGTCGAGAGCCGTCGTGGCCAGCGGTCCCTCCACCGGGAGCTTATGAACGACGGAGAGCTGATTGAGAATGCTCTGAATTTCGTCGTCGTGTGCCAAGAAGGCGCGGGTGAGCTCTTGCACCGAGAGAGCACGGATCGTGCCTCGCCCGCCTTGAGGTGGTGCCGCGGCAGCCTTCGCCGCAGCCTCGAGGTCACGACGTGCTCGTTTTTCCGGCTTGGCCGGTGGCGAAGAGTTGCCGGCCATGAACGAGGAGCTACGTCAGCTGTACAACTTGAGCAGCAAAACTAAACAACAGCGTTCCTGCTCCCTACCGTGTAGGCAGGTCGGTTTCACAGAGCCAGTAGGTCGCCCCCTTCCTGCGAGGGGGAAGTAGGGGCCCCTGGCCGCAGGGGAACCCTCAGCTTACTCCTCTAGAACTGGGACTGGCATAGGGCCAGCCTCCGCTGTGTGCGGTGATGAACCAAGTCGCACTAACAGCATATAACAGCCTTGTCGTGCCTGCCTAAGATCAGAATCTGAGGCCGGAGCAGTCGGACGACCGTCGTCCGTACTGGACCATGGTTGATCGGGTTGGCTCCTCCAGAGGGAGCGATAGTGTCCGCTGTGCGGGGTATCTCCAATGTGGAATACACATGACTGCACCCAGCCCTGAACTGTGTGAACAGAGCCATCAGGGGCCCACTGGGGAAGCGCGATGAAACGGCCTAGGCCCGTGACTGCGTAGCTGAGCTTTCGACCGTCTGCAAATCGGGCTACAGATAGGACGATCAGCCTTTGCTGTCCCCTAAAAGCAGCTCGCACCGGTTGCCCGGACCATTGGCTCACCAGGTCTTGAAGGTCCTGGGAGCCGGCAGTCAGCGGAGCCGGCAGCAGTGCCAGCGGCCCGCCTACGTCCAGGATTTCCGTGGTGTTCGCATCCCTGACTTCCCAAGGCCTGGCGATCGGAAGATCTGTGATTCCGGCAAACAAAGCCGTCAGAAATTCAGAAGCGTCTTGTTGATGGCCATCATAACGCCAGGTGGGAGTAAGGTGGCGGAGAGTAAAAGAGGCAGTCAGTGTAAAAGGAGAAGCAGAGACTTTGTCAGTAACTTCGTGGTGGAGAGAGGAGCTAGCTCTTCCATGCTCAAGCAGAACACGCGTCGGCACCAGAGCCGAGAGCGTAGAATTGATGTAGCAGTAGTTGGAGACGTTGCTTAGCGGGCGGGGGGCATCAGAGGTAACGTGCTCGGATCCCGAAGCGCCAGAGGGCAAGGGCGCACCTGCCACAGGCGTTGCCTGAATTACTGGGGGCGTTGCCCCGGTGGCTCGTCTACCATCGGAGTCAGAGGTAGTACGAGGCGCTGCACTAACAACAGGGATGTACCGTCGCAGCGGTCCTCCCTGACAGCGAGAGAGCTCATGAACTAAATCGTAAAACGAGATTTGGAACAAAACAGGGCACTGCGCAGGGTGTTGTCTTTTGTCCGTGACCTTCTTACGACAGCACGGGCAGGGCATGCCCTTGATGAGGACTAGTCCGGATTTGGTGCTCTTGTCAGCAGCTGCCGCGCCATGAGCTGCCCACTCCGGT